CCATTTCAGAAAGAAATTCTGAGCTCCGACCAGCATATGATGGCCGACCAGAACCACCAATCAGCAACTTGAGTCCACTTTGACCTACTGCCCAATTTGATGCTGGTGCTAAAAGATTTCCTTATTTGTCAAACCGGAGCCAAAGTATAACTTCACATAATGCTCGACATTCCTCATTTTGGGGAAGAAAGTGCTTCTGGTAGGAGTTACCAGAAAATACAACTTGTTTCTTGTAATTTTAGGACTTTATTCTCTTAATATTATTACTTTATTCTCTTAATTTTACAACTTTATTCTCTTAATATTATTACTTTATTCTCGTAAGGTTACGACTTTATTCTCATAATCTTACTTTATTCTGGTAATGTTACGACTTTATTGTCATAATGTTATGACTTTATTCTCGGAATTTTACAACTTTATTCTCGGAATTTTACTACTTTGTTCTCATAATGTTACAACTTCATTCTCGTAATTTTACGACTTTCTTATTTTCGAAATAGGAGAAAAAAAAAATTCTAGCCTGGCCGTTATACTTCGTCATTCGTTATCTATCTGAAAAGTAGGTCACTGAAGGCTGGGTACCCTAACAGGTAGCCCAACTAAGAGATAAGCTAATATTGGTTTGGTATACTTTTGCTACTCTGTAAAGAGTAAGAGGGTTTATTTTGATCACTTGAAAAATAATTTAGTAGTTGCAGTGTTTTATACATTGCTTATATGTAGAATAAAAATAAAAACAGAAACCAACCATTGTTAAGGCTGCTTAATATTTTAGCATATCTGTTTCCCTCATGGCTAGCATGCTATTTTCCTACAGACCTAATGATAAAAATTCACAATGGTTAAAGCTCTTTAGGCCGTGGGTGAAGATAACTAAAACTTTGAAATGTCTGAGTTACCTCAGTAATGCTCTCTGTTATGACTTAAACACTTTTAACACTGTTGATGGGGGCTGAAAATGATAATGTGAGGCCTATAAAAGAAAATTTTAAAATAGATGAAAAAAATCCTGTTTTGGAGTCATGTAATCTTAAGAGACTTTTACCCTTTAGAAAACTTGGACAATGCTGTAATATTCTTATGTTGAAAAATGTCAATATCTGATATTTTGTAACTAACTTGTGTACGACAGTCAAATGTACCAAGGACTTATCCAATCTGCTGGGATATAAAGTGGCTTATACTGATGGCCCATCTATCTTTTTAGACTGTTTTCCCTTATGATGAAGTCCATAAAAAAGGCATGTGTGCATCTGTGTGACTGAAACTATTTAACATACGCCCAACGCCTTGAATTTGAACCTGTCCAGAGGACACAGATGACTTCATCATTACCTCACCCTGCACTGTTAGAGGACTTATCAAAAACATGTGGCTCCGTTCTCCCTGCACACTTCAATTTGATGAAGCCTTGGAGTCTGTTTTCTGTGTTTGAGGACACAAGTTCAAAAGCAAGTGGATTCTATATTCTTGACTTTGATTATTTAAATGATCAGATTTAGGTTTATATGGTAAACAAGATATACTGTTTACCATATAGCTTTTTGTTTTTTTTTAATCAAAGCTTTGGAGATTTCTTGTGATGTTTTTCGGTAGTGATCTGTCCTGCATCGAAATGGACCAAAGTACACACTTTGGCTACAGTACTTCATACACTGCTCAACAAAATTTAAGGAACACTTTGAAAACACATCAGATCTTAATGGGGAAAAAAAACATGCTGTTGATTACTTATTATTATTATATACTGATATGCACTGGGTGATGTGTTAGGAACAAAAGGATGCAACATCATTTGATGGAAATGAAAATGATAAACCTACAGAGGGCTGAATTCAAAGACACCCCAAAAATCACAGTGAAAAAATGATGCGGCAGGCTGGTCCATTTTACTGAAATTTCATTGCAGCAACTCAAAATGGTATTCAGTAATTTGTATGGACCCCACCTGTATGCACGCCTGACAATGTCGGGGCATGCTCCTAATGAGATGACGGATGGCGTCCTAGGGTATCTCCTCCCAGATCTGGACCAGGGCATCACTGAGCTCCTGGACAGTCTGAGGTGCGACCTGGTGGCATCGGATGGATCCAAACATAATGTCCCAGAGGTGTTCTATTGGATTTAGGTCAGGCGAGCGTGGGGGCCAATCAATGGTATCAATTCCTTCATCCTCCAGGAACTGCCTGCACACTCTCGCCACATGAGGCTGGGCATTGTCGTGCACCAGCAGGAACCCAGGACCCACTGCACCAGCATAGGGTCTGACAATGGGTGCAAGGATTTCATCCCGATACCTAATGGCAGTCAGGGTGCCGTTAACTAGCCTGAATAGGTCTGTGTGTCCCTCCATGGATATGCCTCCCCAGACCATCACTGACCCACCACCAAACTGGTCATGCTGAACAATGTTACAGGCAGCATAACGTTCTCCACTGCTTCTCCAGACCCTTTCATGTCTGTCACATGTGCTCAGGTTGAACCTGCTCTAATCAGTGAAAACCACACGGCGCCAGTGGCAGACTTGCCAATTCCGCTGTTCTGTGGCAAATGCCAGTTGAGCTCCACGGTGCCGGCCAGTGAGCACTCTAGAGGACGTCGGGCCCTCAGGCCACCTTCGTGAAGTCTGTTTCTGATTGTTTGGTCAGAGACATTCACACCAGTGGCCTGCTGGAAGTCATTTTTTAGGACTCTGGCAGTCCTCCTGCTTCTCCTTGCACAAAGGATCAGAAAGCGGTCCTGCTGATGGGTTGTAGACCTTCTATGGCCCTGTTCAGCTCTCCTGGAGTAACTGCCTGTCTCCTGGAATCTCCTCCATGCTCTTGAGATTGTGCTTGGAGACACAGCAAACCTTTTGGCAATGGCACGTATTGATGTGCCATCCTGGAGGAGTTGGACTGCCTGTGCAACCTCTGTAGGGTCTAGGTAGCGCCTCATGCTAACAGTACTGACAATGACCCTAGCCAAATGCAAAACTGGTGAAAAACAGTCAGAAAAGGTGAGGATGGGAAAAAATGTCAGTGGCCTCCACCCGTAAAACCATTCCTGTTTTGATGGTCGTCTCGTTGTTGCCCCTCTAATGCACCTGTTGTTAATTTCATTAACACCAAAGCAGCTAAAACTGATTAACAACCCATTCGAAGTACCCCATTCGAAGTACACTTCGCTGCAGCAAACAGAAAGGGGCGGGGACGGACCACTGTCAGTCTCATACCTTATATGGAAATGGGACCATTTCATTCCGGAACTGACGGGGGCGCTAGTGACACTATTTCCTGTACCGACCGTTTCATAATAATTATAATAATAATAATAACGTATTTTATTTGACAACGCCTTTCAAAACACCCAAGAACACTTTCAACCTGAAAAATACTAATTAAACAGTAAAGAAATGGCTACAAAACGTGATATGTCACGGGGCATGTCTGTCACGTGGTATGTCCCTTTTTTATTTTGAAATCTTTATTTAAAATTATATTAGTAACAAACAATCTAAAATAAGCAACAATAAGGAATCATTATGGAGATGTATTTATCTATCCTTACACCCTATATATGTCTAACAAAAGTCATAAAAAATAAAATAAAATCAATATTTTGGAGACAAATGTACATTACATTAAGAGCACATTTATCCATCCATTAATTTTTATGAATTATCCTCAAGTGGGGTCATGAAGGCTGCTGACCCTGGACAGATCCCCAGTCCATCGCTGATTAAGAAAACAGATATAAACAAATACATGCTGGTGCTGAAGTTCAAATAATATATTTTGATGTTGTGAACGGTACTCTTAAAATAAATAAGTTAAAATCTAAAATATAATAGCCTTTGGCTTATTTAATAAGAACTAGATGGAAAGAGGTTTGGTCTGTAAAACATTTAGTCATTCACGGTGCACTTTTGTTGTTTATTTGCCAAATATTTTTTCTTATTATTCTCATTGTGAATATAATTTACAAACAAACCAAAGGACTTTTGAACTTTTAACAAGTGCCATTCGGTAACTAGAATATACTTGGTTGCAGGTGACCTGGCTCAATTATGATCATTATTGACCATAATGTCTCCTATAAGGACTCCAGCTCAACTAGTAAACTGACTGGTGTCCCACTATTCCATTTAGAAATACCATATAAATTTTATCAATTGTAATAAATTCATAAACTGCACTCCAAAAACATGAATATCCAATTGTAGCAAAACCCAAAGTAATTAATTAAAACCTTAAATGTAGCTTCAACCTGGAAAGACTCGCACAGAAAGTAGGTTTTAGAAAGTTCATTTGACAATAATCTTCAACTTTCTGATCCCGGCAGTAGACACTGTACTGGTAACCACCAGAGAATTATCTTTTTTCTACATGAAAACCTTTTTGAATAAAGTCTGTCTTCATCTCACCTGCTCAACCAATCACCTGCTCAAGTGCCTCCCTCCCAGCCTAACGGCGCCGGTCTCAAGTCCTTCACCCTTCATAAAGTCCAGCTTGATGTGTGCAACTGCTCCTCACCTGAGCTTCCATCACCTCCACCCTGATTACACCTTCGCTTTGCTCGTTTAATCTTATGTTTGTATCTGAACAATATGTTTCTGCAACTTATTTTTTATTACATAAAACAAGTTGATTCTAACTGTTAAAACATAAACAACTTGTCTGTATGTCAGGTTTGTAAAGAAAATTTGTATTGATTCCAGTCATTGTTCAAAAATGTATAGGAAACATTGTATATTGCAAGTTATTAGCTTTGCTTGCATTTAAAATTTTCCAACAAGATTTTCCAATTGTTAAACAACGCTGTTACAATATATTTACAACTACTTTATTGGTTCTACTGTCTCTCCAACAAATTACAGCCACAATGGAACTTTGTGGAAACGACACCATTTCTATGAAAACTAAATTATGTAAATCAACTGAGCTACAACAAAAGGAACTTTCAAAAATGTAAATATTTTTGAAAGAACACATTATGAAAAAGGAGGACTGCACAAGTCAAAAGGTAAATATTCTTTATCAGAAACGATTTCAAATGGCATGTCACAAAAAAAACTAACAATATGTGACAGATTGTGGAAAGCAACTTATATTTTCTTTGAATTCGATGTTGGCACTCAGGGCAAAGTCCAGGTATGCCATCACAGTAGTAACGAGGGTACTCTCCTCTCCTCCGCATCTGACAATAAAAAAACAAACAAAATAAAAAAACAGGTGCATTGCAAGACTGTCATACAGGAAGAATGGATGATACATATGATTATGAATGAATCTTACCTGTAAGATTGGCGGTATCCTTTCTACCTGCATGGTGAAGAGCATTAAACAATAATTAATACTTTATATCTCTCAGTATCTTATCCTTTCATCTCTAATGATATAAAAAAAATTGTCCAAATAATGAATTTTAATTTAAAAAAAAATAATCATTTAGGGTTTTAGTCTCATTTGCACATAAAGATACACAAATCAAAATTACTTGTTATGTGTAAATTAAAAAAATGAACCTCAATTTGTGCCTCGGCTCCTTTGGCATAGGTGTGGTCATCAGCACACAGAGTCTGTAAAAATACAGATATGTTCTAAGTGAAAGATGAATGCAAATCTAAATAACATCAAAACTGCTTCAACCCTTTTAATTCTTCTATCCTGATTTTCTTTCAGACTTAAAAAAAATAAGCATAGAACAAAAGTACACTGTGAATGGACATAATACAAATTCTATGACTTAAAACAACAAAGTGATGAATTTTAGCTACAGCTTACCTCACATTTTGCCCTCTCATCAACTTTTTTCCGCTTTCTCTCCTTTTGTAGTTCTTCTCTGGACCTTTTAAAAAGGACAAATTGAAGGTTTTGTTAAAAAACTGAATCTAGAAAAGCGTATTAATTTACTATGTGAAAAAAATTTTAAGAAGGTAAAATTACCTTTTGTTGATTTTGTGGGTTTTGCATTATGGATCGTGTGCCGAACACCAGTGCAAAAACTTTTCAAACTTCTTTCTTTCTTCTTCCTTTCCTCTTAACCTCGCGTCTTGGCATTTATACTAGTGATTATGAAAATAGCGCCCCCTTCATTTCCGGAATGCAATAGTCCCATTTCCAAATAAGGTATGGGACTGACGGAAAGGTCCGTCCCCGCCCCTTTCTGTTTGCTGCAGCGAGGTCCTTCTCACCCATTCTGCTACTTACCTGACCAAATCAATATCCCAGAAGTTTAATTAACTTGATGCTATACTCTGATTACAAAGTGTTCCTTTAATTTTTTTGAGTAGTGTATGTTTTGTAGATTAAGGGGTGGACTGTATGCATTTATTCTGGTATAACACCCTACAGTAATGATACCACAGTTCCATGGGGTTTCCATTAAAGTTTAAAGTGTACACTGTATGATTTAACTGCATTTATTTTAGTCCAAAAAGCAATCAATTGTTGTTTTGCTGTTAGAATAAGAGCATTTTGCAACAGGCCTGCACAATATACGGCAAATTTGCTGTTATTGCAGTATCAATGGACTGCTGTGATAATTATGTTATGTAGGTAGCATGGATTCAGGTTCTCTACCATAGCTGTTATATTTTTGTAATATTGATTTACCGTATGTTTTAATTCTATTCATAGTCTACAGCAAAGGCACGCTATAAACAGCATGAAAAATTATAGTTTTCTTTTGATTTTATGCAGTGTTTTATACCTTATATTTATTTGTATAGGGTTACACACAGGTATTTCTAGAGCTTCAGCCTGCAGTCATCTGCTGATAGATTGTGGACTGTAGGAATTAGATTTTCCCTCAGTCAGGGTGATGGTTGGGCCTCATCTGATGTTCATACCCAGATGATCTGTGTATCTGAGACAATTTTTTTTCTTCCAACAGAAAAACATGTCTGTCTAGGGAAAAGTGTAGGAGCCTCTGTCCTGCCAGCTGACTAACTGTGGTAAGTGACACGTGGGAGAGGAGGCAATACTGTGTAAGTCTATCCAATGACACTGTAAGGCAAAGACTTTGGACTCAAGAAATCATAAGCATTTTAAAAAATTAAAAAGTCCAATGATATTGCACCTATGGCTGCAGGATATCAGGAATATATGCGATTGTGAGACAACTGTTGAACATTAAACTGACCATAACAATTACAATTAACCAACCTTTAACAGACCTTTTCTTTCTTTTTATCACCATTTTCTTTAAACTTTGGTATCTCAGCTAACAGCACATACCGTTGTGTGCATCAAGGGCAGATGCAACCCATTTTTAATATCCAGCTTGCAAAGTTTATTGTTGGCATTCATAGCAATGATGAAAGGCAGTTGACATATAAACCTTAAGCAAATGCTGCATGCATGTGGTCCTTTGAAATTCTAACTTTACAAGGTGAACTTCTGTAATTATGATTTTAGCAATGATGAAATATTTTTGGCTCAGCTCCAATAATGACAGATGTGAGCAAAACATGCACTGTTTTATCTATCCATCTCTCTCTTCATTCTAACATACTTTGCAAAGAACAAATCAGAATATGAGAACCATGTCCTTGAATTCAGAGGAGCCAACTCAACACCTTAATCCGGTCGAGGTATTTCATTACTGCTGTGATCCTGGGAGATATGCTTTGCCCACCACTTGCGTCAGGAGGAGACCAGGTCTTACGCCATGGGAGCTGGATGGAAGGTGAAGGTGGAGACTAGGCCTGAACAATTAATGCCGTTGTAGGTACCAGATCTGCTCGGGGCCCTGCGCTTGATGATGACGTCACTTTATGGCAACACCACTCAGAAAAACTGTATCGCACTGGTTTCTTAAGAATCTAATCTCTTCTGGAATTTCAACTTATTATTATCAATATTTGCTATTATTTTATGTTTCTTTAGTGATCTAAGGTAGCTGGAAGTAGAAAACAATCATTCTTAGTCTTGAAGGCAAGTACTGTGTTCTAAGACAGACTGAGTTCTGCCATTTGACAAGGTGACACAAAATGTCTCAGTGCTTCTTTTTATTTTTCATAATCAGGTCTGAGTCCAGAGGAGGACAAATGGAACATCCTAAAAAAATTATTTTCATAGAGATTTTAGGCAAAGGAAAGTGATATTCTACTTTTAGTTTTCTACTTATACAGGTGCTGGTCATAAAATTAGAATATCATGAAAAAGTAGATTGATTTCAGTAATTCCATTTAAAAAGTGAAACTTGTATATTATATTCATACATTACATACAAACTCATATATTTCAGATGTTTATTTTGTTTAATTTTGATGATTACAAATGACAACAAATGAAAATCTCAAATTCATCATATCAGAAAATTAGAATATTGTGAAAAGGTTCAAAATTGATGGCCCCTGGTGCCACACTCTAATCAGCTAATTAACTCAAACCACCTGCAAAAGCCTTTAAATGGTCTTTCAGTCTAGTTCTATAGGCTACACAATCATGGGGAAGACTGCTGACTTGACAGTTGTCCAAAAGACGACCATCGACACCTTGCACAAGGAGGGCAAGACACAAAAGGTCATCGCTAAAGAGGCTGGCTGTTCACAGAGCTCAGTGTCCAAGCACATTAATAGAGAGGCGAAGGGAAGGAAAAGATGTGGTCGAAAAAAGTGTACAAGCAAGAGAGATAACCGCACCCTGGAGAGGATTGTGAAACAAAACCCATTCAAAAATGTGGGGGAGATTCACAAAGAGTGGACTGCAGCTGGAGTGAGTGCTTCAAGAACCACCACACACAGACGTATGAAAGACATGGGTTTCTGCTGTCGCATTCCTTGTGTCAAGCTACTCTTGAACCACAGACAGCGTCAGAAGCGTCTTGCCTGGGCTAAAGAGAAACAGGACTGGACTGCTGGTGAGTGGTCCAAAGTCATGTTCTCTGATGAAAGTAAATTTTGCATTTCCTTTGGAAATCAAGGTCCCAGAGTCTGGAGGAAAAGAAGAGAGGCACTTCATCCACGTTGCTTGAAGTCCAGTGTAAAGTTTCCACAGTCAGTGATGGTTTGGGGTGCCATGTCATCTGCTGGTGTTGGTCCATTGTGTTTTCTGAGGTCCAGGGTCAACGCAGCCACATACCAGGAAGTTTTAGAGCACTTCATGCTTCCTGCAGCTGACCAACTTTTTGGAGATGCAGATTTCATTTTCCAACAGGACTTGGCACCTGCACACAGTGCCAAAGCTACCAGTACCTGGTTGAAGGACCATGGTATCCCTGTTCTTAATTGGCCAGCAAACTCTCCTGACCTTAACCCCATAGAAAATCTATGGGGTATTGTGAAGAAGAAGATGCAATACACCAGACCCAACAATTCAGAAGAGCTAAAAGCCACTATTAGAGCAACCTGGGCTATCATAACACCTGAGCAGTGCCACAGACTGATCGACTCCATGCCACGCCGCATTGCTGCAGTAATACAGGCCAAAGGAGGCCCAACTAAATACTGAGTGCTGTACATGCTCATACTTTTCATGTTCATACTTTTCAGTTGGCCAACATTTCTATAAATCCTTTGTTTTTATTGGTCTTCAGTAATATTCTAATTTTCTGATATGATGAATTTGAGATTTTCATTTGTTGTCATTTGTAATCATCAAAATTAAACAAAATAAACATCTGAAATATATGAGTTTGTATGTAATGTATGAATATAATATACAAGTTTCACTTTTTAAATGGAATTACTGAAATCAATCTACTTTTTCATGATATTCTAATTTTATGACCAGCACCTGTAGCTGTTGACATGAAGGTAAAATAAGTGCAGCCCTGTCCTTTATTACCATGGTCTTGCAGTTACGTTGTTCAACGTAAACATATTTTTTAAGTTTTGTTGTCAATCAGGTCAAACTTCATCGGCCTTTAAACATGCTTACACTAAAGATATTCCTGACTCAGCACACGAATGCTGCATTATGTTATTATCGTTGTCCAGGCAACCACAGTGTCATCATGGCAATGTTCAGCCAATCATACAGTTTAACATCTCTAGCATGTGCAGGGCCAGAGCTGATCTGGTTTTAGCTACCGTATCATTCGAGTGAGCAGCTTTAAACCTGCTCTCTTGTCTGAAAATCATGTTCATTAATTCATATGTAGACGCAATGGTGTAACGACACAACAATAGGCCAGTAAGCAACATTATCTGGGTGGGCCCCATCCACGTTGTATTGTACAAAATAAAATACTCAAATACATTGTTCTTTTAAGATCTTTATTGTGGTTTGAAACATAGAGAGTATTTTTTACCAACCGTTTAATGAGCTATACACAGTTATTATCATAGTAATTAAAAGTACCACTGTCTGCTTTGCTATTGGTGTCGCGTTTAAAGGGCTCACCGTCATGTTAAAATCTGCCATGTGTTGGGTTATAAATAAGGTCCGGTCAGTCAACCTATTATCAGGTGGGTTTAAGAGGAATTTTTTTGCACCATTACATCTGCAAAGAGACGTCTTAGTCCACAGTTGCGTAGGGGGCTAACCAGGTGTCAGTGACGGGGCCCCTAAGAGGTCCGGGGCCCCTAAGCAACTCCACTCTCTGCTTACCGATAGTTACGCCATTGCGTAGACATTCTATTGTTCTCACAAGTAGCATGACTCTGCCGAAGCCATTGTCTGTCTAGCCATTTGCCAGCAGTGATTCCTCCCAGGCAGCTTAGAGGGTCTTGCATAGATACTAAAGTTGAGCAGCCAGGGTAACGAGGTCAAGCTCTCACTGCACTAGAAGGAGAGGTGACAGATTTTTGGCCAAATCATTTCAGACAACAGCGGTTCTTTTCATCCATCAACTCTTCCCCTATTGTCTTCTTATTAAAGTGTCTCTGCGACTTAAACGTTTCTCATCAAAAAAAGCCGACTTGGGAATGTTGACCAGGCTATACTTTTCTTAATCTCCTGGAGTGGTAATGATTGATTGCATCTTAGCTGTAATTACAGTTATTATCAAGTCAGCATTCTTTATTAACTTGAGCTATTATAGGTTAAAAGTCATGAGTTTTTCTTTTCTTTCAGCTTGTTTAAACTCTGATGGTTGTGATT